GGCCGGGGTCAGGCGTCGGCCCCCAGGCCCCCAGCGAAAAGATAAACCCTGGGCGTCCCCGTCCGCGTCTGTGTTTTACCGCGTGTCTCTTTGCCCGCCCCCTCCTACCGCAGCCAGGCTTCCCCTGGGGCGAGGAGGGCTTTGCCCCGGGCGCGGGTTTAGCCCCTCTGAGGGTGCTCCGCAGGTGGTGGGAGGGCGCGGGCCGCTTGGCCCGGGCCAGCCGGGGGCTGAAACGGCTGGCGTCGGGGCTAATGGAATGAGTTTCAACATTGTCAATATACAGGGCCACCTTTTGGGGTGCGATGGTTGCTCAATTGTTTGGAGTCAGTATCTCTGGACTACTCGAATTGTAAAAAAAATCGGGCAGTAAGTGGCGAGTAGGTTGATCCTGGTTCTGTACCGCTGTGCCTGCCCTAGCAACGGAGCAGCGGAAGGCAAGTGCGGTTTCAGACTGTGCTTGATCGTCCATGGGACGCAGTCCTGTTTTCCACTGAGAGCAACGCCAAGATAGTCACCGTGGGCTTAACTGTACGCTGACCTCCAGGCATGCCACTGAAGTGTCAGGGAATTTACCAGACTGCAGAAAAATTGGTGACGCGGCTTCACAGAGCACAGTGTTTTCATGCTAAAAGTTCATATTGGATCTGTAAACTGAAAGCAAAGCCTATGTAAGATAATCTGCAATGTAACACGTATTTTTGGAGACGTCTTTTCCTTTTTTTCATACTTAAAATACAATCTATTCTTAGCTACCACTGAAAAACTAATCTTGTATGTGCCTAGTTGTTCATTGTTTCAAATTATCTGCTAGTGTTGTTGGATAAACAATTCATATTCGGTGTGTATTATATGTTATACCCCATCAATGTAAAAAAAAAATATTCTCGGGAAATCTGGGAAAGTAAAAAACTTGAGGCTTGAAGTCTGATTTGGCAACCACAGAAATGTCTTTTCATTCTGCAGGTACGGTCACATTACCTTTCTCACCCTAGATGATATAATTTACAAGGTTTCTTGAAAGATCAGACTGAAAAAAAGAAAAGTTATCCCTCTTCAACATTTCATTTGGAAGATGATGCTGCAAAGGTATCGCCTTGAAATTTGACCTGCAGAAGATACTCAGAAATAAGAAATTGAAATTAAGAAGTGATAGATTTGAAATGAATAATTGATGACATTCTAAAGATGTCAACATAAGGAAGAACATGACAACTCTGTAGCACTGTGGATAAGACAAATTACGAAACTCTAAAACTGAACTGAGCAGAATGTAATCACTGTTACAGTAAATGAATTCCTTTGATTTTACCTGAGGAAAAAAGTATTGGACCAAAGCCAGATAACATGAATGTGAAAAGGAATTTATACCTCCAACCCTCTAAGATAACTGAAAATAATAGTAAGGATGATCATATACTAAATGGACTGTTAATACCAAGATTAGGAGAAAACAATCTGAAAAAAACTCAGTACCTCATACTGGAATATCAAGCATAAAGATTCAAGCATCAAATCCCTTAAAGCAAGACGAAAGTAGTATGATTAAAGCATCAAGTATCATTTTGAGTAGATGCTTGACAAACCCTTGGTCCTTGACCTTGGCCCTGAAATACTGAGCCAAGGTCAATATTTCAGGCTGACACAGTAATGTAAAGAACAGTGTGTAATGCCAACACTACAACATGATCTGCTCAAAGAGGAAACATCTGTCACTGTCACTCTGTGCTAGAAATGCCACCAGGTACACAGAATTACACAGTAATTCTTGAAAGAGACCATAAACCATGAAGGACCATTCTTGATTATCACAGATCCCCAAACATATATTATTTAGATATTAAGTATAAACCTGGGAGAAAAAGTTCTTTAACACATATTCCCTGGTGCAGTTTCAGAAGCAAGAAGAGGAGAAAGACTGGAGAGAACAAATGGATATGACATGCCAACATTGTATTTTGGAATTCAAAAAATAGCAAAGCAGCACAGCTGTAATGCAAAAAGTCTTTCAGAAGGGATTCACCAAAATTAGACTGGTATCAGAAACGAGTTTCTTCAGCAGCCTTGAATTTTGGAGTGAAAGGGTGGATGGCAAAGGCTACACTAATATTCACAGTGCTCAAAAGACAGAAACGCAAGGAATTGTCTCCGAGTTACCGCTGGTAATGCATACAGTAACAGCAGAGGGCGGCAATTAGCAAGGAATGACTCTTGAAGCTACTCATTGCTTCTAATAGAGGCGATGAACTGAATGTGGTGACATACGGTGGAGATAGTTAAATCTGTAGTTTCTATTTATTGAGAAACCTTCTCAGATGTAATACAGTAAGAAGTCTGGATTAGAAGTGACAACACACAGGGTCCTGGAAGGACCCTGGTATGCTTGGCGATACATTCTAATTAATAACCTCAATTCCAAAACCACCCAAACAAACCAAAGTTTCCCGATACAGGCAAAGAAACAGTTATGTTGCATGCCCAGTCTAGTATGAAAATAAAGGAGGAGGCAAGAGAGGATGATAACACAGAGATCCTATTCTCTGGGCTGCTTCTTGTGAGAGGTCTCTCAGACCTTGCACCTTGTTTTTGTTCTCACTATATGTTTTTGTACATATAACTGTATTTTTATAACAATCTCTCTCTATTTGTTTTTGTACATCCCTATCAGAAACTTATCTGTGTTGGAGCTAAATGAAATAGTAGTGTACATCTGGTTAACATGGGGTTATTGTTTATGTAGCCACATCTTTTGGTAATTTCACATTTGGATTGGTGTTCATAGGAGGAGTCTTTAGGGAAATTCCTTTTTCTGGGCTCCTTTTGCAGTAAATGGAAGCAGAAAGGCTCCTGCAACCTGCAGTTCAGCACAAGAACTTAATTTACATGCTCTAAACTTGCACTTGGAAAAGCTGATCTTTGCCCATGGACTTGAAAGGGAGTGTGAGGGACCAGACTTGTTTAGGGCAAGGCTAGCCTCTGTTAACGCTTTCCCCTCCCTATTGTCCTAACAAAATTCTGCACCTATGTCTTCGTTATATCTGTGATGGGAGAAGCACATTTCTGGTGTGGAATTACTTAGCCCTCTGTGCTATGACCTTGTGTGTAGATGCTATATAAAAATACTAGCTATTGGGCAACAGAATACCCCTCGTGCACATTTTCACAAGCATGTCAGCCATTGGCACGTGATGCCATCTAGCATCCTCTTCTACACACCCACCTCTGAGTCAACAGACTTCATTTATCCTCTAGCTGCTAACAGTCCAAAAGGCAACAGAATTTGCCTTGCAGGTGCAGCGATGATGGCCTGAGGAAATGAGGCATCCTGCATCTCTCTTATGACCAGATATCCGGAGGCCAAGCAGAGATCATCTATATATATACGTTGCCTCTCCTCACATTCACAGGTTTGCTCCAGCTAATCCTTGCCATTCAGTACAGCAATCTGCGGACAAGTGCAACGTAAGGAAGACAATGAAGAGCTTGTGTACATCCTGCAGAGTGGCCGGCATGTTGATTAACTCTTCATTTCCTTGTTTTCAGAAATTAAGAGTTTTGCTGAATCCAGGACTCTGAGAAGTCCTGAAGGGGCACCAAGTTCTAAGGCATGCCCTTAAGTTTTGAGTATCAGGATCGACAACATTTGGAAAAAAACAGGAAAGGGGAAACAGATTGCCCTTGTATGCTTTGTGACTGAGGTTCTGAGAGATGGTGGTTCATTTTCCTGTTTCATACGGTTTATTTCTTGCCCACAAAAATGGTTGTGTCCCAGACAGTGTAAAAGTACAATGTAGTTGCTAGAAAAAGAACAAATATCTAATGTATGCCATTAAAAATTCACCTGGAGGTTGCTAAGTGTTAAAAACTAAGTCCTTGATTTGGTTTCAGTGTTCAGTGACCTTCCTATTGCTCCAGTTATATCAACGGTTTCTAAATACACAAAAGTTAAATACCACACGTGTCAGACAACGGGCAGTGGATGGTTTTTCTGAGTGCAAACAGGAGCTTGGCTGAGTGGAGCTCAGTGGGTGAACCCCGTGGGTCAGAAGAGGGATATCTACCCTGCCTGGAGCTGCAGACCGCCTGGAAGCAGTGCAAATACAATTCCTGTTTCAGCGCTGCGTCCCAAGCTCAACGACAGGGCTCTGGGGTATGCAGGCTGTTTAGTTACAGCAGTGAGCCAGGCCGAGGCTGACACCACTTGAGTTGCTCTGCTGAGCATCTACAGAGGCTCCTGGTCAATCTCCGTTTGGCAAAGGAATGGCCGGAGCCGAGGGGAATCGCAGTCATCCTGCCTGAGGTCCTGCCTGCAGCCTTCCCTCTCCTCATCACGCAGAGTTAGGTAGTGCGTGCCGTGAGACTCTTGGCCGTATGTAAATTATGACAGGTCAAGAAAGGGGTTTGAATGGTCAAGAAAGTATCCCTGTGCTAAAACTATGGTACCTGCAATTACCTCATTGTTCACATACTGGGAAAGAAGTTAACGGGAAGGCAAAAAGTCATCAGAAATGAGACAGCAATTTCAGGTTGCACTCACTCAAGAAGAAGAGTGATGCTGTTCTCAGCATATGGCTTAGGTGTTCACCACAAATAAGGCAGACAGGACGCTATAAAAATAATACCCATGTGTGGAGCAGATGAAACTCACAATCAGTGTGTTTGCAGACAGTTCTTTAGAGTTAAGTTGAATTCCATGTTTGGGAGAAAGGAAGATAAATGAACTATGTGGCCGTCTCAGTAAAATCCAGCTAGACTCGTTATGTGAAGACAAACCTTTAAGAGAAACTGGTTTATTTGAAGAAAAGAAGAAGATTTAGTTGGAGAAGAGTCTGAAGTACTCAAACTTGAAAATAAAATATGTTAAACTACATAGAATCAATTTTCACAAGCATGTCAGCCATTGGCACGTGATGCCATCTAGCATCCTCTTTTACACACCCACCTCTGAGTCAACAGACTTCATTTATCCTCTAACTGCTAACAGTCCAAAAGGCAACAGAATTTGCCTTGCAGGTGCAGCGATGATGGCATGTATACATGGGGCAGTGTATCTTCAAACTGCTTAATGACAGCTGGTGCTGTGTGTTGGAATGAAGGAGGTGGCACAGATGAGACAGGAGAGTGGCTCATCCTACCTTTCTTTTCTTTTAAATGCTTTGTTTTCCTATGATAAAAAATATATATATATAAAGAATTTCTTCAGGTAAACTATGTGATGGAAAGATTGAACGGATGGAAGTATTATAGGCATTAAAATTGAAAAATGTGCCATGGAGGAAGTTGGCAGGAAGGAAAAGATTAAATAAACTGAGAATCTGGCTAGAGTCATTATTATACCTGTACCGTGCTACTCAAGTCAACTTTCCACCAGAGTTAATAATTACTGGTGTGCGTCACTCTGAGAGTGCTGCAGGAGAAAGATTACTGAAAAGTCTATTTCTCAGTTCCCCAGACAGTTTTTCCACTGCCCTCTCAAATTAAAACATCTTGTAGAACACGTATGGTATCCTCCTCCATTCCACAAACCACGCAGGTAATTTTTTCACTTAAGGCATTGCATCAGGGCCCCGAGGGCACTGCCAGGCCTGGCTGTCCCTCCCAGCCTCCCCCCACCTGCCCAGGGCCCACAACCCCACGTCAGCCCGCCAGGGCTGTCAGCCCCTGCCACAGCAACACCGCAGAAGGCCCAGTCTCCAGCCCTGTCCTGCCCTGCCCGGCCATGGGCCCCACAGAGCCTTGACCCATCCCTGTCCCCAGGGAGGTGCCCGATGCCCGGGGCTGGGGCTGCCCCGGTGTCCCCGGCTGCTCTGCTCCTGGCTGGGTGGTGGGATGGGCCCTGGCTGCCAGGTCCTGCCCTGACACCCCGTGGGGAGCAGCCGGCCCACACTGTGCCCTGACACCTTTGCTACCCAGGACATTTCCCAAATAGCCATGGCCAAGATGCCATGGTATTTCAACCCACAATCAGAATAATCTCTCCTTTTTGTGTTCTCCGGTTGCAGCTACCCTCTATAAGCCTCACAAATACCTTGCTCCAATCAATAGCCTAGGTTTACTTCTCACACTTTAACTCACTTTCCTCATCCCATCTTAATTCTTCCTTACCTCTTCTCACCAGGATTGCATAAAAATATTTCTGCTTCCTAGAAACCTCAGTTCTTCCCTACTCCTTTTTCCTGAATCCTACCAAAAAAAACCCATATTCGTCATTGCACTGTGTCAACAGAACATGGAAAATCCTCCTGGAACAACAGATCATAGTTTCATAATAGTTTCATAAAACCATGACACACGCAAACTACCTCTAGAGGACTCTGTTAATTGCCAGAATCCTCTACATTAAGTAGAGGACTTAAGTTACAAACTTAAGTTTCTAAGTCTACAAACGTAGAGTTAACATTATTTGATAAATTTGGACCACAAACTGGGAATGGTCTTTATTTAAACCATTCCCTGCAGCAGGCTGGCATGTGGAAAATAA